GTAGAGATAGGGGTCTCGCTTCTTTTTGCTCAGGCTAGTCTCAAACTCATGAGCTCAATCCACCTGCCTTGGTCTCTCAGAGTGCTAGGACGGGAGGTGTTAGCCACCTTGCAGAACCCAAAATCCTGCTCTTGCTTAGGCTGGTCTCAAACTTCTCACCTCAAGCTATCTTCCTGCCTCAGCTTCACACAATGCCATGATTTCAGGTTTCAGCCACTGTACCTGGCTACAATCTAGCCTTATAAGAAACCCTGGACCATAGGATCCAGCTAAGCTGCACCCACATTACTGACCCACAGAAAATGTGAGATAATGTTTGTTGTTTTAAACCACTTTTTTAAAATGGGCAAAGAATCTGAATAGGTATTTCTCCAAAGATAAAAAAAAAAAAAAAGATAAATAAGCACATAAAAAGGTGTTCAACATCTTTAGCTATCTGAGAACTGCAAATCAAAACTACAATGAAATACCACTTCACACCTGTAAAACCTGCTGGGATGGCTATAATAAAAAAGGCTATAACCCTCATATACTGCTGTGGAGAATGTAAGATGCTCCATCCTCTTCAGAGAATCACTTAAGCCCAAGAGTTCAAGGTTACCGTGAGCTGTGACGCCATGGCACTCTACTGAGGGTGACACAGTGACACTGTCTCAAAAAGAAAAAGAAAACAGTCTGGCAGTTCTCAAAAAATAAAACAAAGAGGCAGGGTGTGGTGGTTCACACCTGTAATCCTAGCACTATGGGAGGCAGAGGTGGGTGAACTGCCCTGAGCTCACAGGGTCGAGACCAGCCTGAGGAAGAACAAGATCGATCCCATCTCTAAAAAAACAGCCAAATGTTGTGGTGGGTGCCTGTAGTCCCAGCTACCTGAGAGGCTGAGACAAGAGACTTGCTTGAGCCCCAGAGGTGGAGGTTGCTGTGAGCTATCACACCACCGCACCTACCAAGGGTGACAAAGTGAAACTCAGTCTCAAAAATAAATATAAAACATAGTTACAGGGTGGCGCCTGTGGCTCAAAAGGGTAGGGCGCCAGCCCCATATGCTGGATGTGGTGGGTTCAAACCCAGCCCCAACCAAAAAAAAAAAAATGTAGTTACGGTATAACCCAGCAATTCCATGCCTAAAAGATGACATACCCAAAAGAAATGAAAATATTTGCCAACTCAAAATTTTTACATAAATGTTAACCGCAGCATTATTCATGATAGACAAAAGTAGAAAATACAAGTATCCACTAAGCTGATGTATGAATAAACAAAATCTGATACATCTATACAATAAAATATTATGTAGCCACAGAAAGAAAGTACTAACACATTGTACACAGGGATGGGCCTTGATAAATGTAAGCCACAGAAAAACATATATTAGCTGATTCTATGCATATGAAATATCTCCAGAACAGACAAATCAATAAAGACAAAGGTAGATAGGTGGCTGTTTAGGGTAAGGATCTAGGATAGGAAGTAACTAATGGGTAGGATTCCCTTTAGAATGGACAAAAATGTTCTAAAATTTAATCATACTAATGTG